TTATCAGAATATATTGCAGAGACTAAACTTCAATGGACACTGATTCACTTCTGTTCCTTCTCTTCCCTCTCCTCCAATCTTCACAACCCCAACCTCGCACCGCCCGTTCCTTCGCTACTTGAACATCGTCAATGCCACCACACGTATGACTATCCTAACCCCTCTAGTCCGAAGGTGCCTTTACCTACAGATTCCTGATATTTCCATCATCGCCAATCATGTCCTACTTTACAGCGGAATCACTCCGCGCCTCAGGTTAATCGGGGTGAAGCTTCAGAAGTAGCTTTCCAGGTTTTCCCGTTGGTGCTTGCTTACAAGTAACCAAAATAACACTAACTCGGTAGGCTGTTTTCCAACCTACTCAGGCTATAATTTATTGTATTCTCGATCCGTACTCCGATGGGACCCTTTAATGAAAGGCCCCCTACATCATACGCAATGATATTCCGTACTGACACTATTGTCCATACCTCCGCTGCTTACACTGCAGCCCGTAACCACTTGAATAAGTGGTTTTTCAATATGTACTTTATATCTCACTCCTTCTCGAGCATTTTCTAATCCCAGACTTAGCCTTTCAAGATTCAGTCCTATACCACCACCACTTATCATTACTTGTGATTTTAAATCGCCCACCATTTCCTCTGGGGGGGTCCCTAGTGACTCACGTGCAATTCAGTTGGAGGCTTTTCTCTTGCCTCTCAACCCCCTCCCTCCATGTTTTAATACGGGTACTACCCACGCCATTTTGATCCTCTGTACCATACTCCTCTGCATCGATCTATCAGTCTGCTCTTCCTCCACTGCACTAGACTTCACCTGGTCTGTTCTACCAACTTACATGACTACGATCATTTTCCGATCATTCATACTTCTCCTTCCTATTCCGTCACCACCTTCCCGTAGCCCTCGCTGGCAATTTGATCGGGCAAATTGGATCTTTTCTCACTACCTCACTGAATATAGCTAGGTTCCCTTCTTCATCCTCCATGATAGCTTCCTACACATCTTCTCGACATCAGTTTTATAACCGCAGCATCTCATACTATACCCCAAACCCCACAGGCAGGCATTCACAGCATGCGTGCCTGGTTCTCCATGCTTGTTGCTCGTTGCAGTACGTTATGAAACGTGCAGCATGGGGCAGGTAACCGGACATCTCACACACCGCTGAGAACTGTTGATTTATCAGAAGCTTGCGTCGCTCGCCGTGGTCATCCGTGAAGCTAAACGCACATGTTGGCGAGACTATGTATTCCACCATCACCATCTGCTATCTTCAATGAGTGCAGTCTGGAAAAAAGTGAGGAAATTGAGTGGTAAAAACGTCTCTGACCCGGCTCCTGTTCTACGGGTCACTGTGTAGATATAAGCAAACCTCATCTCGACTTTTGCCATTGAACATGCACACATCCGGACCTTATTTCCCGAGGGCTCCATCTATGCCCCTCGTTTCTTTCCTCAAAGCTTCCAGAAGTTAGTAACCCCTTGGACTTTTCTTCACTCGAGAAGAACAGTATAATGTTGCCTTTTACACACTTCAAGAACAGAGCAACGCTCTCAGCTTGCGATCATCCCGGCAAGCAGGGCCTGAATGACATTCATATTCGTAGGTTACAACATTTAACATCGGTCGCCCTTGTAGTCCTCTTACACCTCTTCAAATCTAATTTGGCACAGATTATCTTCCCAGCTGTGAAATCTGCCATTGTTCTCCTTATCGACTGCAAACCGGGTACTACAGTACATGATCGCTTCCCACTATCGCCCCAACGCTACTTACAAGTCAGTTGCAAAGTGGATGGAACGCCTCGGAAATCGACTTTAATTTGGTATTAAGACTCACAACATCTCTCCGCTAGTCAATATGCTTTCGTAAGGTCGTTCTAAAAACCATAGACGCCCTTACTACGCTTGGATACGTATGATCGTCTAATGCCTTTGCGAATAAGATCACTCAAGTAATTGCCATATTTTTTGACCTGAGAAGCATATGACCACAACTATGGAGTATAATATTTTGGACCAGGCCCATTCCTTAGGCCTCCGAGGCAATCTACCATCCTACCTTAAGAAACTTTTAAACTGAACCAGACATTACCGTGTCGCGGTCAATAATGTTCTTGTTACTTTCCCCGGAACTTCTTTCCACGCTGAAGGTGTCCCTCAGGTATGTTACTAAGCACAAACACTATTTCTCCTTGCTATAAATGATTTTGAGCCTCTGTTCATCCACCACAATATTTGGTCATCAATCTATGTTTGATGACTTCGCTATTGCTTGTGCAAGGCGCTGACTGACAACCATATGCAGTTTCTCTCCAAGCATGCGGTCGACCGTGTTCCACTTGGCCACCACACATGTGATAAATTTTCAAGTACCAAAACTCACCAAATTACTTTCACTAGACCTCTGTTATCTCCGATCATCCTTTGTATCCTCAATGGCTCTTCCCCACCCCGAACTAGATACAGTCAGGTTTTCTAGGCCTTCTCTATTGACCTTCTGTTAACCTGAAACCTCACAATACCTCCTGAAGGCAACTTGTCACAGCCGGCTAAACCTTCTAAAACCCTTGACTCATCTTTCCTGGGGAGCTTATCGTCTGAACTCTGCTTCGCCTACATTCAGCCCTCGTTTTAAATCGAAACTCGATAATGGTTGACCAGATTATATCCCGCGGCCTCTTCCTGCAACTCACTCTAGCCTTAACTCTATCCATCACCAAGGCTAACTTTGTGCCTTGTGTGCTTTTTCGCTCTCCCCTGTTATAGCCTCTATACATAAACAAATGTGTCCATCTCCTTGTCTGATCGCCGTGATGCCATTGCCTTCGATACTATGTACGGCTCTCACGATCTACACAATCCTTCCATTATATATGGTCACCGATATTAGTAACATTCTTTATTCGTTCGCCGCCCCTGTATGCTCCGTCCCTTTTCTCTCGCCTACTTCACTCTTGTCTTCCCTTCAGTTTACCACCTTTATATGTTCATGAGCTTCTCACTTTTTCCTCCCCCCCTGGGAAGTTTCCAGCTGTTCGGGTCTGTTTCTTCACACTCCCTTTTCTCGAAAGCGCAAACTGCCTACGGTGGCTTCCCGACTCTTCTTTTTCTTGATCACATCCACTCTCATTACACATGCCACCGCTGTGTTCACACAGATGCTCTAAGTCTTCCAAGACCGGCGTCGATTCGGCAGCAGTGTTTCCGGACAGCGTCCGAACGAGGCGTTTACTATCTTTCAGCTACATTATTCCTGCTGAACTGTATGCCATTCTTGCAGCACTTATTCGAATCGCATCTATGCCTGTGGTCATCATTTGTAGTAGTCTCAATCCCTTAGTGCTCTACAGGCTATACGAAAATTTGAATACATCTCATCCCCTTAGTTCTCCGTATCCAACTATGGCTACGCCGTATCTCTACCAAACATAAAAGAATTGTTTTTTGTTGGATCCCTGGACAAGCGTCGACGTACAGGGCAACATTGATCAGGCCAGACACTGCTGCGGCGGTCAGCAGTAATATGACCTACCAATTTCCTATCGAGGAGTTCTATTTCTGAGACTATTTTGCTGCAACAGCTACCCAACTTCGCACCCGTTGGCAACAACGTTGGTCAACTCTGCTCTGAAACAAACTTCAATCTATTAAACCGAGCATAGGTTACTGGCCGTCTTCTTGTCATCAGTGCCGAGGTTGGGAGACCACTCTCTCCCGCCTTCGCATTGGCCACACTCGTCTTACTCATGGGTATCTCATGGAGAGGCACCCTGTTCCTCTCTGTGAGCAGTGTCAAGTTCCAGTATCGATTAGCCACATTCTGTTAGACTGCCCTCTCTATCAACGAGCACGCAGAATTTACCTCCAACGTCGTCTTCGTTCTCCTACTCTCTCTTTACCTTCCCTTCTTGCTGATGGACCCTCCTTTAATCCTGACTCTCTCATTGACTTCTTGACAACGACTGATTTACTCCACAAACTCTGATGATACTTTTCGCACTCCCCTCAGCCCTTTCTGGTTCAGTCTCTTGCTGCCCTTTACCCTTTTACCATCCACTGCCCCGCTGTTATCCGTAACCTGTTGCTCATCCATCTCCCTTTTGCCACCTGATGCCCTCGCTTCCTTCCTGCCCTGCAGCGCTGTATAGTCCTTGTGGCTTAGCGCTTCTTTTTGATTATAATAATAATAATAATGGGGGCTATGCAATACTGGGATAATTGTCACTGATCATTGAGGTACAGGGGACTGGGGGCTATGCAATACTGGGATAATTGTCACTGATCATTGAGGTACAGGGGACTGGGGGCTATGCAATACTGGGATAATTGTCACTGATCATTGAGGTACAGGGGACTGGGGGCTATGCAATACTGGGATAATTGTCACTGATCATTGAAGTACAGGGGACTGGGGGCTGTGCAATATTCGGATAATTATCACTGATCATTGAGGTACAGGGGACTGGGGGCTATGCAATACTGGGATAATTGTCACTGATCATTGAAGTACAGGGGACTGGGGGCTGTGCAATATTGGGATAATTGTCACTGATCATTGAGGTACAGGGGACTGGGGGCTATGCAGTATTGGGATAATTGTCACTGATCATTGAGATACAGGGTACTGGGGGCTATGCAGTATTGGGATAATTGTCACTGATCATTGAGATACAGGGGACTGGGAACTGTGCAATATTGGGATAATTGTCACTGATCATTGAGATACAGGGGACTGGGAACTGTGCAATATTGGGATAATTGTCACTGATCATTGAGAGACAGGGGACTGGGGGCTACGCAGTATTGGGATAATTGTCTCACACAGTGACTACAATACGTCTCATCTGTAGTGTTGTCGTACAGTTCACAGTCTTGTTTCATGGTAATATGTTGCCTTTTTCTTCAACATTTTAGTTAACATAGTACAGCTCTCTACACGATTTCTCCGGAACATTTCACTCTATTCCTCTTCTGTTTTGTCCCACAGGATCGTGTGTGCTGGAGGTGGCATGGCGGTGATGGTGGCGGTGATGGTGGTGGTGATGGTGATGGTGAGGGCGCAAAACGAGCAGGAGAACGAGTTTGGCTGTCATTGTATGGAGTATTGGACCTGTATCACAAGGTGAGACCTGGACCTGTTTGGTCCGTACTGCTGGGCAGGGATGGTGTGTGTGTGTAGGGGGGTGATGGTAGTGGTGGCTGGGCACACTTAGTGGGGTGAGTTTAGCATAAAACCTGTCAACTACACGAGGGTCAATAAGATCACATTTTACCTTCACATCACCAAAGAAGACAACTTTAATCCTTGAAATAAGGATTAAAATATATTCACTGTATACAAACTGAGGAATATACATATTTCAGTAGACGCGCACACCTTGGTGTATCTCTCTCCTCTCTCCCCTCTCTCCTCTCTCTTCTCTCTCTCTCTCTCTCTCTCTCTCTGGGATCTGGCCGAGTGGAGAAGGTACTATGTACATTGATGTAGAGTGTGTAGGTTCCAGTCCTGCTGTGGACTGAGAGATAATGTTTGTAAATAATTTCGCCTGTTTGCGAATTGTTAAGCATGTGTATATATACGTATATATATATATATATATATATATATATATATATATAATATATATATATATATATATATATATATATATATATATATATATATATATATATATATATCTCGTGTATATACACTGTAAATAAACCGGTCAGTTAGGTTAATGGGAAGTAAAAGCTATCGACTACACGAGATTCATTAAGGTTGCATATAACCTGTTCACCTCCAGTCAAGAACACTGTTACACCTAGAATACATTTAGACTACAGTAAACTCTCAGTGAGACATACACCTCTCAATATTAAGGTAGGTTAGGTAAGGTTTATCAGGAAACAGGACAAGTGTTTCCTGACACAGCTTCATGTGTGTGTTTATACGTGAGCATTATGTTCGTGCACATTTTTTATTCATGTTTGCTTTGTTCATTTGTGTTATCTGTTCATGTGCTTTCTCACTCATTTGTATTCTTTTTCATGCGTGCGTTTCCTTGTGGTCATCTGACTGAGGCCTTCCGCTGGCTTCCCTATCCACCCCTTGTATATACACTGTGTATAACATTGTTGTATGAAATACATTAATTCCGATATTTATGCAGTAGCCTCATACCTCTACTGCATTATTATTAATGTATTTTATGTAATTTGTAATTATTATATAATTTATGGTGTAATATTAATTACACGATGAATAGCAAATGTTAAATTGATGTTTTTTAAATAGTTCGTGACGTCAGTGATTGACGGGCGGGTAATTGAGATTATATTTACTTGTGAATGCTTTCAATCATGTGTGATATTTTTACACACACACACACACACACACACACACACACACACACACACAGGACCATGTATACCGTGTACGTTAGGCCCATATTGGAGTATGCGGCACCAGTTTGGAACCCACACCTAGCCAAGCATGTAAAGAAACTAGAGAAAGTGCAAAGGTTTGCAACAAGACTAGTCCCAGAGATATGGAATGTGTCCTACGAGGAGAGGTTAAGGGAAATTGACCTGACGACACTGGAGGACAGGAGAGATAGCGGGGACATGATAACGACATACAAATTACTGAGAAGAATTGACAAGGTGGACAGAGACAAAATGTTCCAGAGATGAGACACAGCAACAAGAGGACACGGAAGTTGAAGACACAGATGAATCACAGGGATGTTAGGAAGTATTTCTTCAGTCACAGAGTAGTCAGGAAGTGGAATAGTTTGGGAAGCGATGTAGTGGAGGCAGGATCCATACATGGCATTAAGCAGAGGTATGATAAAGCTCATGGTGCAGGGAGAGTGACCCAGTAGCGGCCAGTGAAGAGGCGGGGCCAGGAGCTATGAATCGACCCCTACAACCACAACTAGGTGAGTACACACACACACACACACACACATACACACAACACACACACAACACACACACACACACACACACCACACACACACGAAATGAGTTGTGATCTCAGTTTCCTTCATAAGTTTTGGCTCATCAATCAAGGAACAAGACGAAGAGAATTGATATGATTGCCAGAGAACAAGACCAAACTTTATCAGAGTGGCATGTTGAGTGTTCAGAGTTAGTGCTGAGTGTTCACACTTAGTGGTAAGTGTTCAGGCTTAGTTTTGAATGTTCAAAGTCTAATGTTAAGTGTTCATAGCCCCAGCCTAGAATAATCCTAATAACAGACACAAAGTGTCGCTGTTAACTTGTCCAAGTATACATCTGTTACTAAACTCTTGTAACAACTAGCGAGTGCAAGATGGAGTGGAGTGCAACACTTGATGTTGCACACTGTCAACACAGTGTGCCCACCAACTTAAATCTGTCTTACTAACGTCATCCAACTTAACAGTGTTTTCATTCACTGCAACCATGACCCAAAGTCACACATTATGCAATAAAAATGTTGGTAACAATTGAGTGCAGAATAATTTGGGTAGAGTTTGCAGGATGCAAAGTGTGTTGTTTTAAAAATCCGTATTTTGTTCAGTGCTGTTTTGAATGGC